TCTGGGTCTCTGAGCAGTGCATGGCTGCAGCCAGACAAGGCTTCTGCTCACTCTTACCATCAATGAGCACTGTGGATGTAGCCCTTTGGTGTCAGTCCCTTATTGGAAAGCTGGGTGATTCTCTCTTCTCCCTGCTGACTGTTTCTTTGAAAAGTCTCTCAATCGATAGCTTCCTTCTTACTTCTTTCATTAACATTGAGATATCTCTGAATTCTACTCATAGGTAAATGGCAGTCTTCAAATCCAAATGGTTCAGACTACAATAGACAATGTTGCAGCCCTCAGTGTTGTCACTGTAGGAAAGCACAAGACTTTCTTTACTATGTAAAGTGAACACTCTGAGCTTGTTTTTGTGTTCAGAAAAGGGATGCACCCTGGATTTCAGAAAGTCTTCTGCTATGCAGTGGTGGCATCCTAACTATTGCAGAACTAAAACAGGATAGAGTTCTCTTTAACTGTCTAAATTTGGAGGTGGCCTGCAAATGCTCACAAAGGAGGACAGTTACAATCAACTGTGCTTTAATTTTAGACCTGCTTTTTCACCTTACCAAATCCTTCAAACCTTCCGAAAGGAAACAGGAGACATTTGAACTTGAGCACCACTGCAAACTTCAAAGGAACTATTTATTATAGCTTTAAAAATATATATATATAAATCAGTTCAATACATTTTCTCCCTATTTACAAAAGATTTCATCAGTAAAAATACAAGAAGGAAGAACAGAAATCTTTGAACTAAAGAAACTGCTACCTTATTCAAGCTATTCAGTTCTGCTGTGCTCTTTAGTTCTCACAGGGGTACGTGTTTCCCAGTTTGCCCTAGGGAATTAGCATGGGTATTCAGTCTTTCTTTCTTTCTTTTACTAATTCTTGCTGCTGAAATAAGCCTTCCCAGCATTAAGGTTATGGTGAGTGCTCTCATCTAAGGAACAGTGCATCCAAAAACCAAGGCATCTTTTACTTACAAAGAAATAATAATTTTACTCACGTGGGCCCCAATTTGTTCATCACATGCATTTATAGAAGACTCCAAACATCCCTCAGTTGTGAGGGAAAAAAAAAGTCTGTAGCAAAAGTTAAGGATCCATGTTTGTTTTCTTTTTAAATGGCATTACTGGAACACAGGAAAAATTATCTTTCAATTCCTTGTACAGCTGTAGTGATATGCCTGAAAGACCAGAAGTGACCAAGGTTTGACTGGGGCCATCTTACATCAGTTTCTTAACGTCTAGAGGATGTAGTAGTATATGTTGGGATTCAACAAATGACACAAAGTGGTGTCCCCACAGAGAGAGTAGGACTGCTACAACTCTTGATGCCCGCAGCCACATTAGTCCCCGCATCCTGAAGTCAATAAAATGAAGTGTAGAGGTAGACACCAATTCATCTCAGACCACAACACTGACTCAGATCATTGCAACAAAACTTGAAGCTCAAACTCAAACCTGAGAGTCTTGTCTGCGGAATCCGAAGGGATTATATGACCCTCATATATTCTAACATGGTAGATTTATACTGGCAGGAGTTTATGCGTTTCATCCCACCATATGTTGTGTTTCACTTGCGTGTTTCTTGGCTGGTGCATTTTACCAGTAAAAATACTGTTTTGTGACCAGTAGAAAGTTGTTATATTTATTACCAATAAAACTTGGTTGCATTTCAAAAGGAGATGAAGAGTTAGTGGTAAGGTCTCTTTTTGCACGTGTTATTGGTTTGATAAGTAGATCACAGCAACTCTTTTCAAAATCAGTTTGATAGAATGGCACACTGGATTCCTTGCAAACATTTAGCTTTAAGAAAACAGTTCTGCGTGCACACTGAGTAAACATTTGTCCCACTTGAAAGTCTCTTTTAACAAGGCCTTCAGTACAATACTGATGGATAAAATGAAAGCATTTTAATTCTGGGAGTGTAAAAATATAGAGAATATACTTTGCTCTGAGAACTCAGATGTAACTTATTTGTTGTGTGTATATTACTTTTGGTAGTTTCATGATTGCATAACTTAGACATGTTTGGCTGAATTTGTTTCAATATGTTTTCAGAGAGGTACACTGTAAACAACTCTGTTCCAGTACTCTGATTTTTTGAGGCCAAAGAAATTATTTCTTATTTTTAATGCAATTGATTATATATTTTTTCAGAGGAAAACAATAAATACATATGCAATACATATCCATACAGATATGAAGAATCTTCTGGTTTATATAAAAGAAAGGTTATCTCTAAGATTCAAAGCTTTCATTGTCATCATTAACAGCATTATTTTCTGAGGTTATCATCAGAGAGGGAGATTCTAGTCTTCAGTGCTTAGTGGGGTGCACATGGGAAAGGTTTTAGCTAGAATTCAAAGTTTTTCAATGCTGCTAATTTGTGATGTCTCACATTGCCCTGCCTGGCTGCAATTCTAAATATGTTCACTTGATTGCTTCTCTAAACTCATATTTAATGATGAAGCTGAGAATCAAGTGTTTGATGACTAATATCAGTGGCATCTATACTAGCTTTGCCTTCTAGATTATTTTCAGCCTGAACTGTTCTGGATGGGAATAAACCTTCTGAAAGCTGGAGGAATAACCATATCCTTAATCCAGACAATTACAAGAAACAGTTCAGCCTTGCCAACTAATTGGTTGAACTAATATATCCAGGTCCATGCAACCACCTAAAACAAAGGCATGTGTGGTCAGAAGGATTTATCTGCTTGTTGTTTTGCAGAGGATTGTACAACTGTGAAGAAAAACAGAAAACAAAGTGAAACCATAAGGGAAGAAAGCAGGAAATCAGAGAACTCACAAAAATGTGTGAAGCAAAGATCTGAACTAGAGTTCTTTGAGCCAGGCATTGTCATTAAAAGTCTGAACAATAAAGTCCACCACAGCTTGTGGTGACTGAGGAAAACAAAATTGATGTGTTCCTTGCAAATAAATAATACTACCTTGAGAAACATCACTAGTCTCTTCTAAGTGCCAGTGGTACAAACATAGAGCAGTTTTTGAGTAAAAATGCAGTGCTATTCGTGGTGAAGAAAACTAGTGACATGGTAGCAGTGTTTGTAGAAAAGAGTGTCAGACCTATAGCAAGCGGTGAAACAAAGAATTTCAAAATGAAAGAGGAATGACTCTCAATTAGAGGGAAAATCCATGTAAAGAGAGAGGAGAAAAATGTGTGAATGAGTAGGGAAATACATAGTTATTCAATATGGGGGAGTAATTTGTAAAAAAAAAAAAAACTGCTGTGTTTTATGAACAGACAGCCATATAAATACTAACATCATAACCAAAGACCAGACAATTTGGATGAAATTTTGAGCAGTTTGAGTGTTGTGATGGGCTAAAGAAAGGACTAAATGAGCAAAAAAAAAAAAAAAAAGTTTTGGATATAAATGGAAAGCCATGGATCAGACTCCATGTAATCTGTTTGAGATGGTGACTGCATCAGACAGGACACTCAAACGCTTTTTGTCCCTATTAACTACCTGAAAAACTCCAGTGAGGAGTCGCCATGTTGTCTCAGCTCATTCACCTCAGCTGGTGCAACTCTGAATTCTGTCAACTTTACTGCAGAACTGAAGTCATTAATTACAGCACCACACAGGAGAATGAAGCTTGTGTATGGAAACTCTGTTAAGTTATTCCATCAGGTCCTGGTCCAAAGAAATAAAACATGATACATCACACAACCCATATAATTACTGTGAATAGAATTTCAGCTTGTCAATGTTTGGGAACTGTGGAATTCAAGGCTGGTAAAAGAATATTAAGTAATGAATATCTGTAGTGAAAAGTATTTCAACAGGAGCAATAATATTTCTCAGAAGATAAAAAAAAAAACCAGTTACATCCCAAAGCCATCCCCTTTGAATTGCTACATGGAGATTGAGCAAAGAAAAATTCTAGGAATGTCTAAGAAAAAAAAAAGCTTTAAATTGATGTGAAAATCATCACTTACTCTCAGTAGTTAAAATACCATTGAGTCTCACTAGTTAATTATTTTCCTTTTGTCTACCCTCTCCTTTTTTTCAGTGCCAGTATTTTAGAATTTGTTGGCTTGAAAACTGTAACTGGGATATAGATAGAATTTGTATCTTAAACTGAACTTCATTGCAGTTTCCTTTGGAAGGTGCTCAGAATAATCCTTCTACAAGTATGTGATGAAGACAGGAGTAAGGAATTCCCATATCACCTATAGCAATAATTTCCTGTAGTGTAGTTTGAGCACCTATAAAAGAGAGGTAGAAGGGAAGGGGGGTGGGGGGGGGAAAGATGAAAAAAATTTGGTAAAAACAGAGACAAAAAAGCAAAAGAACTGGTCAATACATCATATCCCCTTGAGAAAAGCTAAGAGTGAAGACTACATGCTGGTAGAAAAGGGACTTGGATCTGGTATTAAGATGCTGTCTTTGCATCTTGGGATATAATAATTTGTTGTTTCTCTTTAGGCAGTCAGGCTTGTATCAAAAAATACCGAATCTGGTACATTGTTTTTTGCAAGGGAGAAAGCTGAGAATGGATCTGGTTATTCTCGCTGATTGGGAAGGAGCAGGTCTAAAAGTGTCCAAAAACAAAAATAGCCTCCTTGAATATCAGAAATCAGATGTGAGGAAAAAAGTTTTTGATCTTCAGCCATAGGTTGTCTTTCCCTCTGCAATTTGCAGTTACTGACACTTTCCTATACTTTGATTTGGTGTTTCAGAGCTGTCAGGCTGTCTATGTCCCTATTTCTTTTCTGCCTATTTGGGTTGTTCGTCTTTTCCAGTAACCTGAAGAGAAATGCTGAGCTGACAGAGGGTAGCACAGCATAGTCAGTGCTGTGCTGCCAGAACACCCATGGCAAATAGGGTACAAAATCTAACTTCCTTCACTGATTGAACCAACTCTCAAAGGACACTGTGAATCCTGCTATAGTTTGGAGCTTGTGTGGTTCATGGGAGAGTAAGCAAAACAGAAGATTTGAATTCTTTTGTGCCTTTTTCATCCTCTTTTTGTTTCTTTGCACAGATCTTCTGCTGGTTCCTGGTGTAGAAGACATCACAGAATCACAGAATCACAGAATTGTAGGGGTTGGAAGGGACCTCCAGAGATCATCGCGTCCAACCCCCCTGCCAAAGCAGGTTCCCTACAGCAGGTCGCACAGGTAGGCATCCAGGCAGGTCTTGAACATCTCCAGAGAAGGAGACTCCACCACCTCCCTGGGCAGCATTGTGATGCTTGATGACTTTTGTGCAGATCTCATCACCATTTCCTGTTATTTTGCAAAGGTAAGAAAATTTGGGAAAGTGGTTCACCATTGCCTGTACTTTTTTTCAGCTAAGATCTATTCTGTGTGCAGCATATTATGTTATTTAATGTACATTATTTTAGTATCTTTTTACATGTGTTTTAGGCAGGCGGATATAGAAGAATTTTTACTTCCTTATTCGGACACAGTTTCTTTTGTTGCTGGAATATCACGAAAAGGTACAAAGGTGGAAGTAAAACAGAATATAGTTGTTGATATAAAGATACCTTCAGGTCTTAACCTTTAGGAATGTAGGCAGTTCTATATCTATGCTTACTAGACATTGTAAGCTCATCTTACAGACTCATTTTAAAACTCTCCTTCACAAAATTCTTCTGTTAGTTATGGAACTGGTTTTTAAATATCTTACAGTTACTCAGTAAATAGCCCACAAGAAGACCTCCATGATAATATGTCTTCATGTGGGATTTGCATCTCTCTGTTTCCATTTAATGTCATATTTAGCTTACAAATCTTTTGTCCAATTCAGATTGAATGCTTATTTCAACTTATTTTCCAACTGTGCTGTGTCAGGGACGAATTCTAGGATATGAAGAGCACAAGGGCAGATCTTACCATGATTATCATTATTTGTGTTTGTCAAGTGCATTTAAATCTTCCCATTGTTCTGTCATCTCTGGGATGTGAAAAGAAAACTTTGAAGCTTACCCCTTTGTTCAAAATTAACTTTGTGCTGTGGAATCTTGTAAAAGTTTTGAATCCCTCATTAATCCCTATCTAGACTTGCATTTGTCCATATAGGATCACGTCATGAAAATAACAGTCATTTAAAAAGGATGGAAAAGTAGAACGTAGCAGCTATAGATTTGAATGTCTGATGTGACTGTTTTTGTTTTTTTCCCCAAATTGTTAAAATATATTTAACCTTGAACTAGAACTTAGTGTAGAAATCTTAGCTAAAGAAGAGTATTTGGTAAAGACTGTCATCCCCAGTGCTGAATTTTTCCATGTCGTGTGTTTGGTCAATACCACAAACTCAGCTCTCTGGTAGTACTCAAGTACTATTTTAGGAGAGGATTTATCCTGTTTAATGTTAAACAGATATATACTGCTAAAGCCAATGCAAATGCCACTATATCAACATTCATTTGAATGATGAGATCAAAACTTTTTTTTTTTTTTAAATTAAATAAATTCAAAATAGCCTTGTAACATGTAGGTCTGTTGGTATATTTAAAGTAACTTACAACTTCAGGTTTCCTGAATGGTCATGGAAAAAGTGTAAGTGATACTGGTTGATCACATAATAAAAATAAATATATGCTAGTTACAAAATAAATGAGTTTTTTGATCCCTGTATACCATAAAAATAGTAGTGTAGCCTTTTATGAGCAACTGCTAAAAGAGTCATGAAGGTGCTGTGCTTTCTTCATAGACACAGAATTGGTATGTGTGCAGTGTTCTTATGATCTGGAGGGTAGGTCACTTAGATAGGATTCTATGGCAAGTTAGAATGAAAATACTAGTAATTAAAATTACTTTTTTATGAAGAGAAAAACGTGAAAGCTGTTGACATAGTTATTACATCGAACTAAATTACATTGTAATGTGCCTTATCTCATTTCATGTCTCTCTTACGACGCATAATAATTCTAAAAGATCTATAAGTAAGCAATATATGTTGGATCATATTACACATTGTATAAAAATGCCTGTGTTAATTCCTGCCATACAGTCACCGTTGTTAGTTTCTTCTAATTGTATTTTGAGGACTTGCTCACTTCCAGTTCCAACACAAGCTGTCCCTGCTCCATCAGCGTCCTCTCCTTCTCCTCTGGTTCTTACTGGGAGGCTTCAGGATGCTCTCTCGGTATCTCACATTTGTGTGGAACAGTCGGACCATTTCATGGTCTTTGCTATCCAATACTCTGGGCAGAAAGAGAGAGGATTTCTGTGTCCTGCGTGTTTTAAAGCCCCTTCTGGGTCGTCCTTTCCCATTGACTGAGACGTACCAGAGTCTCTCCGCACTGGCTTTGCGCTTGGTGCTGGCTCCGCTGGGTACAGTCCGGTATAGACGGGATGCATAGGTGTTATAGCCCAGTTCATGAATCCTCTCCACAAACTCACATTCTGTGTTATAGTTCTCCTGGAAAACAAGCATGACAATGATTAAGAAAGACTATTCAGGTAATAGCTCTCTTACCTCTACCAGATTGAACTAAAGTCAAAGCATGATTCTAATCAGTTATAGGCAAAGGTTAGAGCCACATTTGACATGAAATAGCCTGTAGTTTAGCATGGCTCTTTAATTGGTATACCATTATCTAGATATACCCACAGTCTGATAATCCAATTTATTGCAATGCTTTGAGCTGTAAACAACATGTTTATGAAACCTCTTTATTTCAGCATCACAAAATGGAAGTCCCCTGTCCACTTGTGTTGCTCTGAAATGCTAGGCTGCTCCATTATCACAAGCTATAATGAAGAGTACACGTCCATCCTGACTGCTCACATTTCACAGGATCTGTCAAAACTCTCCAACTTTCTCCCAGCTGAGAATAAGAGGAAGGCAGTACAAGAGCCTGGCATGGGGAACGCCTTCCCCCTCTGTGGGAGCAGTTGGAGCAGTGCAGATAAGGGACCTCCCACACTGTACATCTTCATTTTCTTAACTACAGAACCACTTCTGCTGCATGGTGCGATGAAGACCTCAGCATCTTAACACGTGTAAGGCATAGAGGAACTGCTGTCACGGTCTCTGTGAAAGTTTTCCCTGAGAAATGCCTCTCTGGAGGATGTGCAGAGGGCACAGATGGCTGGACTGGACCATAAAAGCTGTAGGCTCCATTAGCAGCATGCCTTTAATGCTGTTCACTCCCCAGAAATTCTGATAGGCATTTAACATGATTTTAAAAGACTCCACATGTCTCAGTTTCACAGCTGTAAAACGGAAGTGCCCTTCCTTGTGAGGACAAGGTTTTCATATGCTGTGGTGCTGGAGCCCATGCAACTGCCATATGTAGGTGGATTCCTGTTGCTATCTCCCTCAGATCTGTCTGTAGAGGGTTTATCACAGAGGATAAACCTTGAGGATTATCACAATCTGCTACAGGACATAAAGGAGTCCTGCAGATTAAACAAGCTCAATTTATTGACACAGGGACGTTTGTGAACCAAGGGATAACTGAGTTATTCCAGTTCCTTTCTGTAGAGGCTCCCTGTCTCATTATCCCCAGACAAGTCAGACTTATTTCAAAAAGAGCACCTGTGCAGGCTCCGGGCATGGTAACACATATGAAATAGTTGGTCAGCTTTTCTAGGCAAGAAAACCTAAAACCTTTCTCCTAAGCTTAGCCTTCTTCCTTTGCTTTTGTCGTGACAAAAGCACAAATGGAAGAACCATTTCCTGAACTGTCCCTCCAGCTTTGAAACAGACTGTCTCAAACATGAGATGGAAAAGCAAATTATCTTTTTGGGTTGTACAGGAACTATAGCTGATGTTCTTTGGTATACAATGGCTAAACAAACTTCAGGGTGATGTAATTTTTCTCAGGCTGCAGAGAGAAGTCCTAGAAAAAAGACTTTTCTGGCTTTTCTCCGCTTTATGATAGGGTCTGTTTGTTCAGAATTTGTTCACTCTGATTTTAATTCAGTTAAATTAACCTGGAGGAATACCTATTTTGAACAAGAAAGAGATAAAGATAAAAAAAGAACTTGAGAATTCATCCTTTCCTTTCATATCTTTGGGGCTGACTCTGGCTGACAGAGGAGATCCATTGAAAAATATGCCCATATTTAACTAGAATATTAGCTGAAGGCATAGCAGCAGACTTAGCTCTGTCACAGCAGATCCAATATGCCCTGGTCCTACTTCAAATGCACTTTCCTTCACCAAAATTATTTGTTGCCTGGTTCTCTGGGCCAGCAAAGAACCATCATATTTAAACAGAGCCCCTTTATTTAACAGGTGTCACATGGGGCATGTTGCAGAATCTGGGTTATAAATACTATCAGGATGACACTCTTGGAAAGGCAGAGTAAAAGACATAAGAACAGGGAGGTGATCAAGTTGATTGTGTTAAGTAGGTTGCATTCACAAGGAAAAGTCTCATGTGACTTGAGGATGTGTTATGCTGTTCAAATCAACAGAATTACGTAGAATGACTGTTTGGAGGAAGGAAATCTCACAGAGCTGTGTTTCACCCTCTTCAAATCTGCTTTTCTACCGCAGGGTTCCTAGAGAAACTGCACAGTGCGTATGTTACACAGTTGCAGATCACAAGATTGCTGGGGGTGTAATCAAAGATGCTGGAAGAAATTCAAGTAGATAGATAATGTGCATAGTATACACAATGGCTAACACACCTTCTTGTGTCCCCGAGTGTAAAGAAGTCTGAGCAGGAGTATTTTATTCACTGAGTGGAAACACTGGCTGGGCTGAAAAGGCAAGACTCCTGTTAATGGCAGCAGAGCTCAGATATTGCTTCAGAGGTCAGGACAGATGTCAAGGGAGTGCGATAAGGTGTTTATTTTCACCTTTATCTTCTTACAACTTTCAACGCTCCCTTTCCTTGCTATAGCTCTGGTTTTTAGCCCGTTAATTCTTTCACTGCCCAACTGCTCTGTGTGGAGGAACTCTCATCAGTAGGTTGGTTTCCTGCAGCAGAGATGCTCAATTGCTTCTGGATATACTTAATCTGACATTTATATCCCCAGCCAGCAGCCAAAGCAGATGTTGAATACAAATACGACAGCATTCAGGGTAGAGATACACGTCCTGCACTGCAAGGTTGGCCCCAGAATGTTTATCAGTGTATCCATTGCCCAAGAAATTTGGCCACATGGAATACTTTTGCTGAATACACTCTTTTGCTTTTGGCTGTAAATGCAGTTAGAAAGTAAGAGTGCAGCTTCTTTCTGCTTCTTAAAAGTGTACTGCTCACTTACTGGTAATGATCCTAGAGAGAAAACTGTTAAGACATTAAATCTTATCTCTATAAACATTCATCTGTAAGA